GAGTGCTAGAGAAACTCAGCAGGTCTTGCAGTATCTGTAGAGAGAGGTGCTACCGGACTTGCTGAGTTTCTCCAGCACTTCGTTTTTGTTTCAGAATGGATTTTAGAAAGGGTCAGAAAACCACGTAGGCAAAATTTTGGGCAGTTCCAGAGAGGAGGGGCATAGCAACAAATAGAATGCCACAGAGGAAGATGGAGCAGAGAAAGACCAGTGTCAAAAGATGGAGAGGGTGCTTGCAGGGTGTATGCTGGTAAAACAAAATAACTCGAGTGAAGATATAGAAGAATCTGGTGAAAAACATGTTCCTTTAAAATCAGTTCACTGGCCACAGAAGTCTGCTGGGCTTGTTGAGGACCTTGGTTATGGGCTTTGTAGAGATGCAGAAGATGTCAATCAGAGAGATATTGGGAGTGAGTTTTTTTTTCAACGTAGCCCCATAGAGTTATAGAGCACCAAAACTGACCCTTCAGTCCAACTCATCTATGCTGCCCAAGTTTCCCAAACTGAACTAGTCCCCAGTTGCCTGCATTTGGCCCATAGTCCTCTGAACCTTTCCGAATCATGTTCCTATCTAAATGTCTTTTAAATATGGTAACTGTACTAGTATCTACCACTTGTGAGGCAGTTCGTTCCACACAGGAACCACCCTCTGTGTGAAAAGGTTGCCCCTCAGGTCCTTTTTAAATCTTTCTACTCTCACCTTAAAAATATGTCCCCTAGTTTTGAACTCAACCACCCTAGTGAAAAGACCTTTGCTATTCACCTTATCTATTGCCTTCATGATTTTATAGACATGTGTAAGGTCACCCCTCAACCTCCTATGCTCCAGAGAGGAAAGTCCCAGCCTCTCTAACCAATCCTTATAACTCAAACCATCCAGTCGCAGTAACATTCTGGTAAATCTTTTCTGAACCCTCTCCAATTTAATAATATCGTTCCGAATGCAGGGCAACCAGAACTGTACACAGTACTCCTAAAGTGCCCTCACCAATGTCCTGTACAGCTGCAATATGATGTCCCAACTCCAATGGCCAGTCCAGTGGTATTATCACTGGACTGTTAATCCAGAGACCCAGATAACATTTCTGGGGACCCAGGTTCAAATCCTGCCACAGCAGATGGTGAAATTTGAATTCAATAAAAATCTGGAATTAAGAATGTCGATTATTGGAAAAAACATTGTTCACTAATGTCCGTTAGGGAAGGAAAGTGCTATCCTTACCTGGTCTGGCCTATATGTGACTCCAGACCCACAGCAATGTGGTTGACTCTGAACTGCCCTCTGGGCAATTAGGGACGGGCAATAAAAATGCTGCCTGGCCAGCGACGCCCTCATCCCGTGAATGAATAAAGAAGAAAGAAATACTAAATGGTCTGACCAATGAAGGCAAGCATGCTAAACACCTTCTTAAACCTTCTCTACCTGAGATGCAGCTTTCAAAGAACCATGCACCTCATCCCCTCAGCCTCTCTGTTCGACACTACTACCGAGGGCCCTACCATTAACTGTATAAGTCTTGCCCTTGGCTGTTTTACCAAAGTGCAATACTTCACATTTATCCAAATTAAACTCCATCTGCTACTGCTCAGCCCATTGGCTCAGTTGATCATGATCCCTTTGTAATCTTAGATAGCCTTCTTCACTGTCGATTAAAGCACCAATTTGGGTGTCATTTGCAAACTTACTAACCATACCTCCTCAATTCTCATCCAAATCATTTATATAAATTACAAAAGCAGACCCAGCACCAATTCCTGTGAAGCACCGCTGGTCACAGGCCTCCAGGCTGATAAACAACCCTCCACCCTCTGTCTCCTTCTGTCAAGCCAAGTTTGTATTCAATATTAATTGCCCATCCCAAAACGCATTTGAGAAAGTGGTGGTGAGCTGCTTTCTTGAACCGCTGCAGTTTGTAGGTAGACTCACAGCGCCATTACAAACAGCAGCTCTGGAATGTTGACCCAGTGCCAAGGTATTTCCAGGTGTAGATGGGATGCAAGTAAGGGGGTATCTTTGAGATCGTTACACCTTAAGATCATAAGAAATAGGAGGAGCAGTCCATTTGGCCCCTTGAACCTGCTGCACCATTAGATAATGGCTGATCCCATTTTGGCCTCAGTGCAGTCCCTTCTGGTCCCCCATAATCCTTAACTTCCTTACTAATTAAACCAGTCTCTCATTCAGTCATTCAATGATCCAGCCTCCACTGATTGCATGGGGAGAGAATTTCTCAGACTAATAATCCTCTAGCAGAAGGAATCCCTCTGCAATTCCATATTGATTGGGAAGATCCCTATTTTGAAACTGCTCTGCCTAGTTCTAGATAACCCCACAAGAGGAAAGATCCTCTCTGCTTCTGCTCTATCAAGTGCCTTCACAATCTGTGTGTTTAACTAAGATTAATTCTCATTCCTTTAAACCTCAATGAATATAGATCCAACTTTTCCTCCAAAGACAGCCCCTCTCTCTCAGGAAGAGGTTGAGTGAATTTTTCTTTCTGAACCGCTTCTAAAGCAGCTTTTAATCAACCAGTTGGGACAGGTTAAGACACAATCAGAGCAGCCAGAACCTGAGTCTGGACCTTCTGACTTGAAGGCAGGGACAACTACCACTGGTCCATCAAAGCCCTCATAAAACCAAGTGCCCTAGATGGGACTCAAACCCATGAATAAATTCCTAGTTTAGAAGACCAATGCCATATCCAGAAGGGCCCACTGAGGCTCTGAAGGACATTAGAGAACCAGATGGTTTCTTATGACAATCAACACTGGTTACATGGTCATCATTAGACTTTTACTTACAGATTTGCCTTGAATTTAACATATCCTTCCTGAAATAAGGAACCCAGCACTACACATGTTCCAGATGTGTAAGGTCATTCTAAGGCAAGTATAAGGGGTGTTGTTGAAGGGAAATGATGACCGTGGAAATGCTTCTCTCTGCAGTCCACAACAGTCCTTGAAATCCTTCCTGTTACTGTCATCAACAGCCTAGTCAGGTGAATGGAACCAGCCCAGAAGATCATGTGGTTCAAGATATACGCATAAAGACACTTAACCATCTGCAATCTCTGCACCGGTTAGGGAGAGGTCCAGAATCCTTTGCTGTGAGCACCCACCAGATAGACAGTGATTTCAGGGAATGTCTGTGCTCTGGGTGAAATAAGGGATTGCTCAACATTCAGCCTTTTCCTACCCTCTCTCAGTTTAATCCTCTGTGTTCTGGTCTTCCCCAACTGTTTAAACTGGAACAATCCATCGTTAGAGATGCAATAAAATCCTTTAATTATTTCATGGGCTTCCATTGAGGGGCTTTTGTGGTGTAGCGGTAGTATTCCTACCCCTGGACCAGGTGACCTGAGATCCATCCCACCCACTTCCGAGGTGTACAAGCAAGCATTCGCTGCTCACAATGTGGTGTCCTGTACATTGGGGAAATGAAGCATAGACTGGGTGACCGTTTCACAGAACATCTACATTCTGCCTGCAAAAATGACCCTGATCCTCCAGTTGCTTGCCATTTCAACACACCACCCTCTTCCCTGGCCAACATCCCTGTCTCAGACTTGCTGCAGTATTCCAGCAAAGCTCAATGCAAGCTGGAAGACCAACATCTCATTTTCCACTTGGGGACCCTGCAGCCTTCTGGACTCAATATCAAGTTCATCATGTTTAGGGCTTGAACTCTCCCGTGTCATAGTCCCCTACCCCACATGTGTGATCACATAGTCTGCTATTACACACAACCCATTGTGAGCCACTAACAGTCTCCATTAACAGCTATTCACCCTCTTGGCCAGATCGTTGTCCACTCCTTTGTCTGTCCAACTATTCTTCTCTCTCTTTGAGCACTATCCTCACCTATTGTTTACTCCTTACCCCTTCCCCCACCCTGCCTTCTGCATATAAACTGGCATTTTCCTAACTGCCATCAGTTCTGAGGAAGAGTCACTGGACCCAAATGTTAACTCTGATTTCTCTTTGCAGATGCTTCCAGACCTGCTGAGCATTTCCAGCAATTTCTGTTTTTGTTTCTGATTTACAACATCTGTAGTTCTTTTGGTTTTTATTCGGCTTCTTAAGGGGCTTGACAGGGTCAATGCTGAGAGGATATTTCCCCTCATGGAAGAGTCTAGGGCTAGAGGGCATAGTCTCTGAATAAAGGGGGCATCAATTTAAGACTGAGATGAGGTGGAATTTCTTTTCTCAGAAGTCTTTGGAATTCCTTGCCACAGACACTTGAGAGAACAGAGTGTTTGTGTATGTTTGAGGCTGAGATAGATCAATCGACCTTTGATCACTCAGGGAATCAAGGATTGTTGGAAAAGGGCAGGAAAGTGTATGCGAGGAATATTGGATCAGCCATTATCCTACTGAATGGCAGAACAGGATCGAGGGATTGAACAACCTTTTCATATTCTTATTTCTTATGGTCTTATCAGTTCAATAGGCATAAAATGCAAATAATATGCCTACCCTTCTTTTGCATTAGACCCAAAAAGATGTAAACCATTTATACTTCTTCAAAACTGGTAAGTTATTTATGAAAACTTTCATCCAAATTGTACAAAAAGCAAAATAGATGATAACTGATTCGGCAGTTGCCAAATTGTGACAATGATACAAATAAAATCTATAATCATAATTCATAACATCATTTGAGACAATCAGAATAAAGTATAAAATGCTGAAAGCCATGAGCAATTATGACTATTTCAGCGTATGCATAGTTGTAATATTTTGCAAACTGCAGATCTCCTTAATGTAGAGAATGAACACAAAAGGTGAACAGCACTCGGTTTTTTACATTGAAGTCCAGGATCACATGTTGTGAGGTTGAAATCATTAAGTTCTCAATCACTGTTGTTGAGTTTTGGAAAGTAGTGATAGGGCTGTTTGATGATGTGTTCACTCTGTGGACATACTCTAGATACTGGAAACCCAGGTTGTGAGTAACTGATATCTTGTGTGCCTGACTAGTTTTCTGTCTTCATTCCAAGGTGCCTGTTCTCCTTTCTTCCAGTTATCATGAACCATCTCATCGATGTTTGAGATTTGCAACTTTCTCTTGTGGCTCATTCTCAACCGAGGGGCTCCTGGGTCACACTCAATGGTTGAAGCCTTGAGCTGAGGGACTAGGCACTCACCCTGTTCAGCTGTGTGTTAACCCAAGAGAACCTTGTGCTCCCAGACTTGAGTGACTGTAAATGATTTGCAATGGTGACATGAAATGCAAGAGGGAAGATTTTTATTTTCTAAAAGCAGAAACAACCGCGCTACTTTAAATCTCAGAAAAGGGAGGACATAAAGCATGAGTTTCCTGAGCAAACTGCGCCGACTATTTCGACAGCTCACATTGCAAGGTGTACTTTTGTTACTGTTTGCCTTCTGCATGGTGACTGTGTTCATCTCTGCCTATTATCTGTACATCGGAACCAAACAAGAGACAGAGCCTTCCAGTGATGCCCAGCAGCCCGACTGTGATGATTCCAGAGTCACTCCATCCAGACTATTCCCAACCAAACCCATGAAGCCAGTGGATGTCTCTCGCACTGACCCTGTGGTCCTGGTCTTTGTTGAAAGCATGTACACCCAACTGGGGCAGGAGATAGTGGCCATCCTGGAGACCAGTCGGTTCAAGTACCACACAGAAATCGCACCTGGCAAGGGTGACATGCCCACGTTGACAGATGAGGACAGAGGCCGCTTTGTCCTTGTCATATATGAGAACATTTTGAAGTATGTGAACTTGGATGCTTGGAACAGGGAGCTGCTTGATAAGTACTGCATTGAGTACAGTGTTGGCATAATTGGCTTCTTCAAAGCGAATGAAAATAGTTTGCTCAGTGCCCAGCTGAAGGGATTCCCTCTGTACCTCCACTCTAATCTGGGCCTCAAAGACTGCAGCATTAACCCCAAATCACCACTTCTCTACATCACAAAAGCAAAGGAGGTAGAAAAGGGCTTCCTGCCAGGAGATGACTGGACTGTTTTCCAGTCCAACCATTCAACTTACGAGCCCGTTTTGCTCGCCAAGACCAAATCTGCTGAGAACATCCTGCACATGGAGGTGGATGCTGCTCTTCACACGACAGTAGTCCAGGACCTGGGACTCCATGATGGCATACAGCGAGTGCTGTTTGGAAACAACATGAACTTCTGGCTCCACAAGCTCGTCTTTGTAGATGCCGTCTCCTTTCTAACAGGGAAGAAATTATCTCTCCCGTTGGACAGGTATATTTTAGTAGACATCGATGACATCTTTGTTGGCAAAGAGGGGACCAGGATGAAGACAGAAGATGTGAAGGTAACCAATTTCCCCTTTTATTTTCTTTGTCTGTTCGTGGGATGTGGGCATTGCTGGCTAGACCAGCATTTATTGTGTCACACAATGATTCCTGAGCTGGGGTTTCTCAATTACTGGTTGATGCAGGCATATCTTTGTAGCCTCCGTCAAAGAACAAAGAACAGAACAGCACAGGAACAGGACATTTGGCTCACCAAGCCTGTTCTGACATATGATGCCTTCTAAACTGAAATCCCTTTGCCTTTATGCGGTCTGTATCCTGCTATTCCCTGTCTATCCATCTATCTGTCAAGATCCCTTTTAAATGTTGCTATTGTATCCACGTCCACCACCTCCTCTGGCAGCGCATTCCAGGAACTTATCTCCCCCGTGTAAAAAAAACTCACTTCTCATATCTCCATTAAATCCACCCCCTTATATCTTAAACCTACGTCCTTGAGTATTTGAAATTTCTACCCTGGGAGGAAGACTCCGACTATCCATTCTATCCCTCCCTCTCATAATTTTGTAAACTTCTATCAGGTCGCCCCTCAGCCTTTGATGCTCAAGTGAAAACAAACCAAGTTTGTCCAATCTCTCCTCATAGCGAGTACCCTCCAAACCAGGCAACATCCTGCTAAACCGTTTCTGTACCCTCTCTAAAGCCTCCACATCTGCCTGATAGTGTGGCAACCAGAACTATACATAATATTCCAAACGTGGCCTCACTAAAGTTCTATATAGCTGCAATGTTACTTGCCAATTTTTATACTCTTTGCCCTAACCGATGAAGGCAAGTGTGCCATATGCCTTCTTGACCACCTTATCCACTTGTGTTGCCACTGTGGATCTGTATGCCTAGATCCCTCTGTATGTTGATGCTATTAAGGGTTCTGTCTTTTACTGTATACTTCCCTCCTGCCTTAGACCTTCCAAAATGCATCAACTCACATTTGTCTGCATTAATTTCCATCTGCCATTCTTCCGCCCAATTCTCCAGCCTATCTATATCCTGCTGTATCCTCTTGACAATCCTTCTCGCTATCTGCAGCTCCCCCAATCTTTGTGTCATTCACAAACTTACTGATCAGACCACCTATATTCTCCTCCATATCATTTATATATATTACAAACAACTGGGGTCCCAGCACTGATCCCTGCAGAGCACCACTGGTCCTAGATCTCCAGTCAGAAAAGTACTCTTCCATCGCTACTCTCTGTCTTCTATGACTAGACTAGTTCTGTATCCATCTTACCAGCTCACAGTGGATCCCATGTGATTTCAACTTTTGTATCAGCCTGCCATGAGGGACCTTGTCAAAGGCCTTGCTAACATCCATGTAGACGACATCCAATGCCCTGCCCTTATCAATTGCTTCCTCAAATAACTCAATCAAATTTGAATGACATGACCTCCCCTGCACAAAGCCTATCACTGTCTGTAACTAATAATTCCGTAAAATCTGAATGTGAGTAAATTCTTTTCCCTAAGAATCTTCTCCAGTAACTTTCCTACCATTGACATGAGGCTCACTGGCCTGTAATTTCCCAGATTAGCCCAGTCACTCTTCTTAAACAAAGGAACAACATCGGCTATTCCCCAGACCTCGGGACCTCTCCTGTGGCTAAAGAGGATACAAAGGTTTTGTACAAGGCCGCAACAATTTCCTCACCTGTCTTCCTCAGCATTCTGAGAATGGATCCCATCAGATCCTGGGGACTTGTCTAACATAAAGCTTTTCAAAACACCCAACACTTCCTCCTTTTTTAAATTGACATGCTCTAGAATATTAACATACCCCTCTCTAGACTCATTATCCACCATGTCCTTCTCCTTTGTGAATACTGATGCAAAGTATTCATTATGGACATCACTCACTTCCTCTGGGTCCACACATAAATTCCCTCCTTTGTCCTTGAGTAGACCTACCCTTTTCCTAGCAACCCTTTTGCCTCTTATTTATATATAAAATGCCTTGGGATTTTCCTCATCCTGTTTGTCAAGGATATTTCATGGCCCCTTTTAACCTTTCTCATTCCTTGTTGTAAGTTCTTTCCTGCTTCCTTTATATACTTCAAGGGCACTGTCTGTCTACAGTTTCCTAAACCTACGTAGGCCACCTTTCTAACTAAGCTCTCAATTTCTCTTGTCTTGCTATCCTTATCCTTCATTTTCACTGGAACATCCTGGTTCTGAACTCTAATCAACTGGCCTTTAAAAGATTCCGACGTGCCAGATGTGGATTTATCCTCAAACAGCAGCAAACAATCGACATTACCCAGTTCCTGCCTAATATTGTCATAGTTAGCCTTTCCCCAATTTAATACTTTCACCTGAGGACTAATCTTATTCTTATCCATAACTAATTTAAGGCTTACAGAATTATGGTCGCTGTTTCTAAAATGCTCGCCCACTGAAACTTTGAACACCAGGCCGGGCTCATTCCCCAATACCAGGCCGTAGTTGGACTATTTACAGATTGCTTCAAGAAACCCTCCTGGACGTGCCTAACAAATTAACTTCTGCCATCCAGGTCCCTGGCACTAAGGGAGTCCCAGTCAATATAGGGGATGTTAAAATCACCCACTACAGTAACCCTGTTGTTTTCACACTTTTCCACAATCTGCCCACATACCTGTTCCTCTTATCTCCTCCTGGCTGTTGGGCGGCCTGTAGACCAATCCCATCAAAGTGATTGCGCCCTTCCTATTCCTAAGTTTTCCCCATAAGGCCTCACTGGATGAGCCTTCCAAGATGTCCTCCCTCAGTACAGCTGAGATATTCTCCTTAATCAGTAACAACAACTCCTCCACCTCTTTACATCCCCCTCTTTTTCAGCTAAATCCTGAAACATTCAGCTACCAAATTTGACCCTCTCAAACCAAGTCTCTGTAATAGCCACAACACAATAGTTATATGTATTAACCAAGCTCATCTACCTTGCCTGTCATAGTCTTTGCATTAAAATAAAGACACCTCAGACTGCCAGGCCCACTGTGTTCAGTAATCCCTCCCTGTCTGTATCTCCTGTTAGTCTTACTGGCCTTAAGCTCTGACTCCTCCTTGGCCATTTTACTTGCAGACCTGTGGCTCTGGTTCACACCGCAACCCCCACCACCACCTCCCCACCGCCCCCCCCCCCACCCCACTCACCACACTCATTTAAACCCTCCTGAATGACAAATCCCACTATGTTACTAGCTTTAAATTGAATTAGTAAATCATGACAATTAAGCCAGTGTCTATAACAGTGACCATTGTTGTTAAAAACAAAACACACCGGTTCACCAGTGCCCTTTCAGGGAAGGAAATCTGCCATCCTTACCTGGTCTGGCCTACACGTGACTCCAAATCCACAGCAATGTGGTTGACTCATAATTGCCCTCTGAAATTAGAAGTCACACCCACACCAGGTTATAGTCCAACATAGTTATTTGAAAACACAAGCTTTCGGAGCACTGCTCCTTTGTCAGGTGAAGTGACTGAAGGAGCAGCCCTCCAAAAGCATGTGATTTCAAACGAACCTACCGTACGATAACCTGGTGCCATGTGATTTCTGGCTTTGTCCTAACCAGCTCAACACTGGCACCCCCATATCATGCCATCTGAAATCGTGAAGCAAGCCACTTGGTTCATTAGGGATGGGCGACAAATCCTGACGTAGCCAGCGATGCCCCCATCCCATGAAATAATTTTTAAGGAAGAGACATGATAGCAGTGAGGGAATGGTCACCGTGTCCCAGTCTGAGGCTCATTCCCTGTCTGAGGTCCATTTCCTGTTTAGTTAGTGTGACTGACTTATCCTTTGCTTCATTCTTTGCAGGCTTTGCTTGAAACCCAGAAGCAATTGCGAGTCCACGTTCCAAACTTCACCTTCAACCTGGGTTTCTCTGGAAAGTTCTATTATACTGGTGGGTCACTTTCCTTTATCCTGCTTGAGTGGACCGTTGGAACTTTGTAGCATGCTGCTGTGCTGTGTATTTAAAATAAAGGAGCGTTGGTCAACCTTTATATCAATGTAGCATCTGGATCTAGACGGACAGGTGTGGACAGGTCCATTTCATTCATTATTTTATTGAACCTGTCAAGTGTTTAAGAGTATAAAGTAAAAACCTACAAAAGTAGAACATTTGGCCTCTTGAGGCTTCTTTGCCATTCAACAAGATCATGTCTGATTATACTTTTAAATCTCAAACTAAATAAGACTGTACTCACTGAGTGTTTAATTGGTAAAAAGTAGGCCCCTGTTTTACCCCCAGTCAGAGGGGTCTTATGACACTGGTAAAGCCCCTATGTCTGGCCCAGTAGATCCAAGTTCAAATCCCACCTGCAGTACATGCAATAACACACCTGTACAGGTTGATTAAAAATATCTAATCCTAGTCTGTCATGTTAGGGAATAATGGATCATGGCTGGAGTTGCTATACCTTATTCATAGAGGCTGACAGCGCAGGACAAAGGTCCTTTGGGTCTGGGTGGGATGCTGTTCAGAATGTTGGTGTGGATTCGACAGGCTGAATGGCCTCTTCACATTACAGGGATTCTATGATATAGCATCACATTTTTGGGTGTGATGCTCGAGGGAATCTGGTGCATCTGGAACAGTACACAACAGGCTGAAAAAAAAAAGCTTTCCACGCTCAAGGGGTGGAGTCGATTAGCTGGTTTGCGATGCAGGATGGTACCAACAGTGTGGGTTCAATTCCTGCACTGGCTGAGGTCACCATGAAGGACTCTCCTTATCAACCTCTTCACCTTTGCCTGAGGTATGGTGACCCTCAGGTCAAACTCCCCACCAGCTGTCTCTCTCTCTTTCTCTCTCTAAAGAGAGAGCAGGACGATAGCAACTTTATTTGAAACCACTTCAGATTCAAGACAAAGTAAAGGTACAGGAGGATTATTAGCAGTGAACTACTTCGTAAAACTTTTATCCAGTCCCGCATCGTGGTAAAAGTGGCAAACACGACAAGGTGCCAGGAGTGGTCACCTCAGACAATACCAATAGTGCAGAAAATTCGCAGGAATCGTTCCAGGGATGAAGGATTTGCATTATAAAGAGCAATTGACAAAGTTGTGATTTCTTTCTTTGGATAAGAAAACGCTAAGGGGAGTTTTCATCGAGGTATTCAAAATCAGTGTATTGAGTATAAGAGTTGGGAGGTCATGTTGTAGCTGTATAGGATATTAGTTAAGCCACTTTTGGAATACTGCATGGAATTCTGGTCTCCCTGCTGCAGGAAAGATGTTGCAAAACTTGAAAGGGTGCAGAAAAGATTTACAAGGATGTTGCCAGGATTGGAGGGTTTGAGCTATAGGGAGAGGCCGAATAGCCTGGGGCGTCGCAGGCTGAGGGATGACCTTACAGAAGTTTATGAAATCATGAGGGTCATGAATTGGGTGAATAGTCAAGGTCTTTATTCCCAGGGTAGGGGTGCCCAAAACTAGAGGGCATAGGTTTAAGGTGAGAGGGGAAAGATTTAAAAGGGAACTAAGGGGCAACAGTTTCACACAGAGGGTGGTGTGTGTTTGGAATGAACTGCCAGAGGAGGTGGTGGAGGATGATACAATGACAACATTTAAAAGGCATCTGGATGGATATGAATAGGAAGGGTTAAGAGCAAGAGATAGTAGGAACTGAAGATGCTGCAGAATCTGAGATAACAAGGTGTAGAGCTGGATGAACACAGCAGGCCAAGCAGCATCAGAGGAGCAGGAAAGCTGACATTTCAAGCCGAGACCCTTCTTCAGAAATGGGGGAGGGGAAGGGGGTTCTGAAATAAATAGGGAGAGAGGGGGAGGCGGATAGAAGATGGATACAGGAGAAGATAGGTGGAGAGGAGACAGACAGGTCAAAGAGGCGGGGATGGAGCCAGTAAAGGTGAGTGTAGGTGGGGAGTTAGGGAGGGGATAGGTCAGTCCAGGGAGGACGGACAGGTCAAGGGGGCGGGATGAGGTTAGTAGGTAGGAGGTGGGGGTGGCGCTTCAGGTGGGAGGAGGGGATAGGTGGGAGGAAGGACAGATTAGGGAGGCAGGGACGAGCTGGACCGGTTTTGGGATGCAGTAGGGGGAGGGGAGCTTTTGAAACTTGTGAAATCCACATTGATACCATTGGGCTGCAGGGTTCCCAAGCGGAATATGAGTTGCTGTTCCTGCAACCTTCGGGTGGCATCGTTGTGGCACTGCAGGAGGCCCAGGATGGACATGTCGTCTGAGGAATGGGAGGGGGAGTTGAAATGGTTCGCGACTGGGAGGTGCAGTTGTTTATTGCGAACCGAGCGTAGGTGCACCTATCTCGACTCCATTTTCTCCCTCTTGGTCCAGGAACTCCCTACCTACGTCTGTGACACCACCCACGCCCTCCACCTGCTCCAAAACTTCCAATTACTTGGTCCCCAACACCTCGTCTTTACCATTGACGTCCAGTCCCTATACACCTGCATTCTCCATGCAGATGGTCTAAAGGCCCTCCGCTTCTTCCTGTGCCGCAGTCTTGACCAGTCCCCCTCCACTGACACCCTCATCCGCTTAGCCGAACTCGTCCTCACCCTCAACAACTTCTCTTTCAATTCCTCCCACTTCCTACAGACAAAGGGCGTGGCCATGGGTACCCGCATGGGCCCAAGCTATGACTGCCTCTTTGTAGGTTACATGGAACAATCCCTCTTCCGTACCTACACCGGCCCTAAACCCCACCTCTTCCTCCGTTACATTGATGACTGTATCGGCGCCGCCTCGTGCTCCCATGAGGAGCTCGAACAGTTCATCTACTTCACCAACACCTTCCACCCCAACCTTAAGTTCACCTGGACCATCTCTAATACCTCTCTCTCCTTCCTGGACCTCTCTGTTTCCATCTCTGGCAACCACCTGGAAACCGATATCCATTTCAAGCCCACCGACTCCCACAGCTACCTAGAATACACCTCCTCCCACCCACCTTCCTGCAAAAATGCCATCCCCTATTCCCAATTCCTTCGCCTCTGCCGCATCTGCTCCCAGGATGAGGCATTCCACTCCCGAAAATCTCAGATGTCCTCGTTTTTCAAGTACCGCAACTTCCCCCCTTCAGTGGTCGAGAACGCCCTCGACCGTGTCTCCCGCATTTCCCGCAACTCGTCCCTCACGCCCCCTCCCCGCAATAACAACCAAAACAGAATTCCCCTCGTCCTCACGTACCACCCCACCAACCTCCGGATCCAACGCATCATCCTCCGATACTTCCGCCATCTGCAATCCGACCCCACCACCAAAGACATTTTTCCCTCCCCACCCTTATCTGCTTTCCGGAGGGACCACTCTCTCCGGGACTCCCTTGTCCGCTCCACACTCCCCTCCAGCCCCACCACACCTGGCACTTTTCCCTGCAACCGCAGGAAGTGCTACACCTGCCCCTACACCTCCCACCTCACCCCCATCCCAGGCCCCAAGAAGACTTTCCACATCAAGCAGATGTTCACCTGCACATCTGCTAATGTGGTATACTGCATCCGCTGTTCCCGTTGTGGCCTCCTCTACATCGGGGAAATCAAGTGGAGGCTTGGGGACCGTTTTGTGGAACACCTACGCTCAGTTCGCACTAAACAACTGCACCTCCCAGTCACGAACCATTTCAACTCCCCCTCCCATTCCTCAGATGACATGTCCATCCTGGGCCTCCTGCAGTGCCACAACGATGCCACCCGAAGGTTGCAGGAACAGCACCTCATATTCCGTTTGGGAACCCTGCAGCCCAATGGTATCAATGTGGACTTCACAAGCTTCAAAATCTCCCGTCTCCCTACCGCATCCCAAAACCAGCCCAGCTCGTCCCCGCCTCCCTAACCTGTTCTTTCTCCAACCTATCCCCTCCTCCCACCTCAAGGCCTACCCCCATCTCCTACCTACTAACCTCATCCCGCCCCCTTGACCTGTCCGTCCTCCCTGGACTGACCTATCCCCTCCCTAACTCCCCACCTACACTCACCTTTACTGGCTCCATCCCCGCCTCTTTGACCTGTCTGTTTCCTCTCCACCTATCTTCTCCTGTATCCATCTTCTATCCACCTCCCCCTCTCTCCCTATTTATTTCAGAACCCCCTACCCCTCCCCCATTTCTGAAGAAGGGTCTAGGCCTGAAACATCAGCTTTCCTGCTCCTTTGATGCTGCTTGGCCTGCCTGTGTTCATCCAGCTCTACACCTTGTTATCTCAGGGTTAAGAGCGATATGGGCCAAATTCTGGCAAATGGGACTAGATTAATTTACGATATCTGGGTCAGCATGGATGGGTTTGACCAAAGGGTCTATTTCCGTGCTGTATGTCTCTGTGACTCTATGAGGGGTCTGTACAGGATACGTAGGGAGAAATTTTCCCACTGATTGAAGGATTGAGAACGAGCAAGCACAGATTTGAAATAATCTGTGAAAGAAGGAAAATGGAGATGAAGACAACCTTTTCTATGCAGCAAGTGTTTAGGATTTGGAATGCACTGCCTGAGAGTGTGGTGAAGATTGGTCCAATCAAAGCTTCCAGAAAAGAATTAGGCTGTTATCTGAAAAGTAACAATGTACTGGGTCATAGGGGATGGTAGGAGAATTACATGAGGTGTATTGCTCATTTGGAGAACTGACTAGCCTCCTCCTGCACTGTAGCAATCCTTTCATTCTGTAAATACACTTCTTCCAACCCAAAGATAATAGGAACTGCCGATGCTGGAGCCTGAGGTAACACAGTGTGGAGCTACAGGAACACAGCAGACCAGGCAACATCAGAGGAGCAGGAAAGTTGATGTTTTGGGTCAGGACCCTTCTTCAGAAATGGGGGATAGGAAGGGGGCTCTGAAATAAATAGAGAGGGGGGATGCGGTGACAGCAGGTAGAGAGTGGAGTGGATAGGTGGAAGAGAAGACAGACAGGTCAAGGAGGCGGGGATGAAGCTAGTAAAGGTGAGTGTGGGTAGGCAGTGGTGGGGATTGGTCAGTGAGGTGGGAGGAGCGGATAGGTGGGAGAGAAGACGGACAGGTCAATGAGGCGGGGATGAGAGGCGGGCCTGGTCTTGGGATGTGGTCGGGGGTGGGGAGATTTTGAAGCTAATAAAGCCCACGTTGATACCATTGGGTTGTAGGCTTCCAAGGCAGAATATGAGGTGCTGTTCCTCCAGTTTCCGGGTGGCATCGTTGTGACACTGGAGCAGGCCCAGGATGAACATGTCGTCCAGGGAGTGGGAGGGGGAGTTGAAGTGGTTCGCGACTGGGAGGTGTTGTCATTTTTCGCGAACTGAGTGTAGGTGCTCCGCAAAGCGGTCTCCAAGCCTCCGCTTAGTTTCACCGATGTAGAGAGCCCCCTTCCCCCTCCCCTATTTCTGAAGAAGGGTCCCGACCTGAAACGTCAGCTTTCCTGCTCTTCTGATGCTGCCTGGCCTGCTGTGTTCCTCCAGCTCCACACTGTGTTATCTCTTCTTCCAACCCACCTCTTTCACCAGGCTCTTGGACGCATGTTCTGACAGTTTCTCCATGAATACAGCTGAAAAGAGAGATGTGTTGCTGAGGCTTTTCATATCACTCACATCGCAATAAACACAAGAATGCCAAATGCTCAAAACAATTCATACTCCAAGGGAAAAAGGTTACAGATTAGTCGGCAACTCAACTTTCATTGACTGAAATATTTCTACAGAAGAAGCAATGAGGAACCATGGTGGTTGGCCTGACACGTATGAGATGAGACATATGCGTCTATTTTCAGGAAGATTCAAGTTCAGTATGACCAACCAATCTCCTACATAGCTCGGTGCTTTGTTTTGCAGTGCTGGGATGCTTTATCATATTAAAGGTGGTGGATCAATGAGTGTTGTTGCAGATAATAACTGTTTGTGTGGGCTGGTTCATGATTAATTCCTTGTCTTCCAGGAAATGATGAGGAAGACCAAGGAGACAGCCTTCTTCTGGCTAATGTGGATGAGTTCTGGTGGTTTCCTCACATGTGGAGTCACATGCAACCCCATCTCTTCCACAACCAGTCAGTGCTGGCCGAGCAAATGCTCCTCAACAAGCAGTTTGCACTGGTGAGTTGGAGCAAGTACCATTTGCAACATACTTAATTAGTCCTGAACATGCAATTTACACGTTTCAACCTCGACAAAAGAAAGATCATTTTAGTCCAATCAGCCAAGCAGAAAGAGAACACTGTGTGTTCCCAAACTACACCCAGTGGGTTCACACACAATGACAAATGTTATGCCCCTGAAAATCTACTCCACAACTCAAAATGCAGAGGGCAACGAGAAAATTCGCTACCTCCCAAAGGTCTTCTAAAGACCCAGGAAAATTCAATGAAGGTGACAATAAACCAAAGAAAAGTGGCCCCATGACAGAAGAACGGACAGACCCGTAAGACCTAAGAGCAGAATTAGGCCATTCAGCCCGTTGAGAATGCTCCGTCATTCGATCATGGCTGATATGTTTCTCAATTGCTGAGGAGGCACTCCACCAGTTGCAGATTGGTCCTATCTCATATCTGATGCATAAACATTGAACCCAGTCACAGAAGATGCAAGGGAGAAGCTGCCCATGATTGGAGGGGGAATGAGAAGCTTTCGTTTCAGTGACAGAGACTGTTGGAGACTGAAGGAAGTGTTGGATGGCTTGGGGGTGTCTGTAAAGAAGCTGTCAGCCCAATGAGGAATGGGGGCCAGAGGCTTGGGGGATGCCAGGCTGCAAAGGGGAAGAGGAACTCCAAATTGGGAAGGGGGTCTGTAAAGAGGGAGGGGGCTGTCTTAATTCTTCCAGCCGACTTGCAGTGGATACTATTGTCATTAACATTGCAATGATTGGATGGTTTAATGGTGTGGAGTTGTATTTCAGGAAGATGTTATCACATCTCAACGCGTCTCACATACTGGGAATTGCTTGAGATGCAGTGATTGTGGTAGAGACAAGCATGCAACAGTTTAGCTGTGATCTCATCAGTCTGCAGGAAACATGTTTAGTGTGATGGATTTTTAAGAATAGATTTACTTGCAAAAACAAACTTCTGCTAAATTCCACCTAATGTAGGTCAATCGGGCAGATAGGAAAATGTAGGAAGGACGTTCGCAAAGACTGTGAGTCCGCAACTGGGGGTCACAGTCCAAGGGTACAGGATAGGACTGAGATGAGGAGAAATTTCCTCACCTAGAGAGTGGTGAGCCTGTGGAATTCCCTGCCACAGAAAGCAATTAAGACCAAAATATTGTATCA